TCGTGGTGGTGTATTATACGATATTGCAAGGATAAAGACGGACGCGTGAAAAAACTGCAAAGTACCCTGTTTTAATACGCGTTAATAAAAATCTTGCTTCTCATTATATATATATAGTTTAAGAATCGTTCGAGCCACGCTTCCTATATATTAACTTTTTTTCGTTACGAGCTTTGTCACCTTTTACGCGTCTTATCCACTCCCTAAAACCGGTTTAAGAAGCGAGGAAAGATCATCCCGAATGATTCCGTCCCGCGTGCTCGAATTTCAATTCGGTCGCCTCGATCGATAATCCTGATCTACGAATCGAAAGATAATATATATATATATATACACAGGGTGAGTTGATAAATTCGAATTCGAAACGCGAAAATTGGTTAAGTTTAAAAGCGATCGAATTTTCCGTCCGTGAGACGAAGCGAGACAGAAATAGACATCTCCTCTGTCTCCGTTACATCACGCTCTACCCCCTCCTCGCTCCCTATCCAAACTATAAATTCCTTATAGCTCGATAAATAAGCCTGGACCGATATATATATATATATCCATCCTTTAAATCCAACTTTCGATCCTTCGAATTACGATACACGAAACAAGCGATCGTTTTGAATAAAAAGAGGGAGGAGGGAGGGAGGGGAGAAAGAAGCGCGGGGCATTATGCATAGGATAAAACGGTCAGTTGGACGTCCCGTATCGTGTCACGTCGCCTGATTCCTGATCGTGGACAGACTGCGAGAACGGGAAGGGAAAGATGTATGTGTGGCAGTGGTGGAAAGAATGGCAAGTTAAGTCGAATAGGGTATACGTGGACGCCGCGGCCTTCCAACCTCGCTCAGCCTTCCGCTTTTATTGCGCCGTGGTAGTAGCGCCACTCTAAGGCTAGGGCCAGGAGAAGTGCCAACTTGAACGATCTTTCACCGGATGGACAAACTGTGACATCACTTCGCGGCCGAATCACCTCCTAGAATTCCATCCACGCATCCCGACCGTCTATTTCCACCTTCGGTTATTTAGACGTTGACCCGAACTAAACGCGCGCTCATAATTGTTGGTCCGCCAGCTTTCTGGAGGTAGGGGGGGGATCGTGAATGAAATTCTCTCTCTCTCTCTCTCTCTCCTCTCCTTAAAGCTGGTTCTAAAATTAGCAGCGATAGGATAGAGAATACTTTCACTTCGGCGAAACGTTTAATTCGAAAAAATTTTAAAAATATGAAAAACAGATATATTTCATTAAAGAGTGTTTTTAATTTAAGAGATGTTCGATTCATTTTTCGCTCGGTTCACTAAAGTGATCGATCTCTGACTCATCGAAATTACGAAGGATAAAAAAGAAAAAAGAAAAAAAAAGAATTCGTGTTTCGATTAAATAAAATATTCACACACGCGAGTTCGCACCTTTTTGGCAAGAATCTCTTCCGAAAATAATTCTCGAGTTCGCGAGCATTGCATAATGAATCGGCGGGAAAGAAAATCGCGCGGCACGATATTGCAAACAAACTGAATCTGAGCAAACATCTCAGTTTTTTTCTGCATACATAAGAGATAACGATAACCGCACGTGTCGAGACAGTTACCCACGTGGTCGGTAAAGGACAATCTTGACTTACAACCCAACTATAAATTTCATCTTTCCACCGATGGAAACGTTGGTGATAATCCCCCCCTCCCCCCTCCCCCCCTCCCTCCCCCCGTCCCCAAGTGTATTCATTCAGGAGGGAGTTTTATCAACCGAGTTTATCCCGTTAATTTATCACCGATCAATTGTTTTTTCCGTCACACGTCGGCGGCTGTTCCATCGGCCTGTTTGACGAAACGTTATTTTCTCTCGCCTGTTGTAAAAGTCACACGTGAACGAGAGAGGAGGCGGCGCAATAATGCAAGCCACTCTGTTTTAACGGGCATGTACTTAATCGTACATTCCGCTGTTTTGAAGGTAAACCGTTTCAAGGTGAGGCTAAACTCAGCCGAAGAGTAATTGTTTAATCGGCGCAACAATAACATTTGATTCAGCATTATTCTTGTTTCATACCAGTTGCGCGGCAACGAAACAACTCCGCGCGGAAAAGGCCAAATCACCAGAAAAACCGTTTCTTAATTGGACGCCTGAAGCAACAAAACCTACGTAAAACGTTGTTTATTAAAACACCGAAGAATTATAAAAACCGTCCTATCTCGTTGCATGCACCTCGTCTCGCACGACACCAATGTGTATAAACCAAAAATGATTCGCCATTGCAGGGAAACATCTTCCTACTCCTTTTTCGAGCCCAATTAACCCAAGCCTTCGCGATTATCGTGAGAACGGTGCGATGACTTTGAGACGAGCGAAGAAGAGAGAGAGAGAGAGGAGGGGGGGAGGGATAAGAAACGAATTTTCCTCTTCCTTCTCGCAGGTTTTCGGCCTACCCTTGACCATGACCGCGTTTCACGCGCTCTTTCTCCTCTTCTTGGCCGGCTACCTACACGGGACGATCGGTTACGTTACGTCAAGGGGCGCCCCCTCGTGCCCTGCTCGAGAAAGGTTAGGTCCATGATCTTACAGCGTAACGTGTTTCGCGGGCCGCTCCAAGGTCGTTGCTCTACACGTATGAACGAAGCAGGGGCGGTTATTCGGGGGAATACAAGGGGGAGGGGCCCTGGGTGGGGCTTCGAACTTGCCAATACACACGGGAGAGTCAAGGCTCCGGCCCAATTCGAGTTCGTAGACCTAGACGGGACGGATAGGTCACACACGCACGCCTTCCTTTCCTCTTCAACTTCTCGGCCTAAGGTCATTTACTTTTACCGAGCCACCTTCGACGCGTCACCTTCGAATCTCCTTGTCCTTAAGCTAGGATTCGAGAGGAGAGAAAAGGGAGGGGAGATATGTGGGTATACTGTGTGTATACATGATCGCGATAAACCGGTGTTTCCTGTGCGATCGCAGGTGCAGGAAAACGGCGACCTATATTTCGACATAATACGCTTCGCCCTTCGAGAGCGCGATAAATTGTTAAACAAACGCGTGCAACGCAATAATCGGGCAGGATGCGCGAGCGATCAAGGACGAACGGGGGCGACCGTGTTGTTTTCCTTACCCGGTAAAAAATAATTGCAACGCTGTCGACACGCGCCACCACAACAACCGACCTTTGTTTTTGGATGTCGCATAATACTTAATATGTACGCAACAAACGCAAGCTGGTTGCGTGAAAACGTAAACACAGATGCGAACTTCGCTCTTGAAAACCAGACGGTTACGTACATCGCGATCTTATCGAATGCCACATAATTGATGTCATATCAAAAAAAAAAAAAATATATATATATAATGTTATGGAAATAAGCGGATCGATTGTGTACGAAGGAAACATGAAAATTACGGAGGCGAATGTGAATGGTGAAAAAACAATCGGGAACGATTAACGGTTTAAAGATTGCCGAGCTTTGATTTCTCTTGAATTTTTAAAAAAAACACGTTAGTTTCGGTTAATAAAGTCATCACTCGAGTTGGGAGAAGGACACTTGCAAAAGAGAGAGAAATGGAAAGAAACGAGTATTCGTTCGGTTATCCGCAGAAGAGGGAACGGATTAAGAGCCGTGATGAATCGAGAGAGGAGGAGAGGGAGGAGGTTACAGAGCGTTCCACGTGGTATCAAACTTCAGGGACGTTGGTATATATGGGGCGCGAGGCTACGGGGCCCTTATACCGCGCTGATGTCTTGTATCTCAATATTTATCGAATGTATACCGCGCGATGCTAAACACCACACCGTTTTGGCCCTCGGCCCTGAGTAACCGACCAAGGTCATCCGCTTAACCGCCGATCGCGCTAGAGAATTAGAGAGAACGCGAAACTCGCGTGCAACTATAAATCTCATAACTATATTAAAGAGTCGCGAAGTTTTCTGAGTTGAAGCCAAGCGAAGAATGGTAGGAGAGATCGAGAAAGAGTGAAGGAGAGAGAAAGAAGAGAGAGAGAGAGAGGAGGAGAGGAGAGAAATGAAAGACTGAGATGGTTGAGGGCCGAAGGTTGGTCCGGGCTGAAAATACTTGGACAAAATATAGTTGCGTTTTATTTCTACGCGCGTGAATACATGCACAAGTGCATACGAGATCTGCGTATTCGGTGCTTTGTCTGTTTACATTGATTATCCGACCGATACGAAATTATAAAAATCTATACGCTATATGTAAAATTGTCTTTTATCATCTTTCGCGAAAATCGAATTCGAATCGAAAGATATTTAACACGATTCGTTACAATTCTGTCAATTTCTCTCGCATTCGCGATAAATGCAAGCCATTCCCCCCCCCCCCTACTCAATCGTATAAGCCAATACGTATAGATTTGCAAAGGATAAGGATCGACGCGTGCATTTACAGCAAGTTGTTTCCTGGATGGTATCTCTGCTCGAATCATCAGAGACGGTTACGATAATTTTATATAATCGATACAATAGTAACGCGAGCTATGCTATAGTTGCCAGAAGAGAGAGAGAGAAAGGTAGACGGGTTGAAGAGAGAAGTGTGTATCGATTCGTAAAACGCTATTTACAATTGCGTCCATAAAGTGACGCAGAAAACCGAGCGTACACCATAGAATTTAATCGTTTTTATGTAAACCGATATCTCGTGGTACACCGAACCATAATGCGTGATCACTTCCTTGATCGTATGCGATTACCGTCCGGTTGCTCATTTTCACCCCGGCCGAACGAACCGTCACCATCGTTCCGCGAGATTCGCTTTTACCCGGAGAAAAGATTTTGTTAGGTAATCCCGCCGAAGACATTCGATCGCGGCGCTTTCATTAAATCACTATTATTGCTTTGCGTCTCGCACTCCGCGTTTGTCAAACGGACTCGTGTAGGTGGTATTCAAACGCGTTCGACTTTACCGCCATCTCTAACTATCACCAATCACAGAAGCAAGCATACTTTGAACCGCTGTTCAATCCTTTTACATAACACGGTGTATTCGATTACTTCTTTTAACTAATCGATGTTAATTTCTCTTACCTCTGTATATCCTGATTTACGATGACGATTTACGACGCTTGACGTCGTCGAGGAAAATACAGACTGGACGTGGATACTTTCGACGCACACCGATTTCTATTGCACACACTCTACTACTGACCGTTGATATCCCCAACCTGTTTCCTTCTTTCCACTTCAATCCCACTTCTTCTGAGTCACCGAAAACATAAACAATTTTCGATTATTTGGCCGCACGATGATTACGAATCACCTTCGATTCGTCGAAAGGAAGAGGGAAAGAAAAATGTTTTGAAAGACGTTACGAGCTTGTGTCGCGCGACGTAATTCTGATTGGGAAGCGCGCGCAACACGACGCGACGTAAAAAAAGTTTTGTTTTCAATTCGACAATGGTGGTTCCACGTTTAATCAGTAACTGTTCTCTCACTTGCGATCGAGAAGAAAGAAACGGCCATGTCTCTACCGAAATTCGGAAACGAAAACGAAACCGCACAGAATCTTTAACACACAGTCCGATCACACAGTACGATGCCGCGCAACGACTCGAGTCAAAATCGTCCGGTGGGCGCAGAGTGACGCGCAGCCGTGGTATACTGTCGACCGCGGGAAATTCAGGAAGCTCGTGCTGCTTAATGATGGCGTATGATTATGCGATGCTTCGCGTTTCACGGTGGTCTCTTTTCCTCTTCGACAACTCTCTCGAAATCCTTTCTCCTGTACGCGGAGGGGTTCGTAGCGAAGGGGAAGAAGACGGATTGCGTGACACGAGGCGTACGTACGAGTCTTTGGCCGAAGCGCGAAGGAACACTGAACGTAACGCGCGAGCAGCGAACCTCGGTTTGCCTAGCCTAGCCGCCACTAAACGCCACTATCCTAGGTTAGACACGCTCGCGACACTCTCCCTCCCTCCCCCCTCCTCCCCCTCGCCATTCCCCTCTGCCATTCCACTCCTAGCTCGCGCTTCTTCTTCCTCTTTCGCACTAACGTGCTCTCCCTCTCTTTGTCTTTCTCCCATCTGTCCTGCTCTCGCTTCACCGATCTTGCATCTTTCTCGAACTCTAGGGATCTATGTACATAGAGTGTACGGGGGGTACACACGCCGTGTGGATTCGGAGCGGTTGACTGGTGGGGGTTCGTAAGGCCATAGCCACGGCCACCGAGTCGCATACACTCGCAAACTCAGCAGCAGGCGCATGCACGCACGTATATACACATTGCGAATAGCGCACACTGGCAGAACGAGCGTTGTCGCTTCGTTTCTCGCGTGTGCGGGCTCACGAGCGCGCACACGATTCTAGACTCTCTAGAGCGCTTCGTCGATCTCGTGTATCGTCCGTGTATCGTTGTCGCACGGAAGCATTTCGCGGGACTATTTTATAACCGGAATCGCAAGCGCGAGTTAACGAGAAAGTGGAATTGCTTGTCTTTTTTTCCCACCTCTGTTTAATGCCTGTTGAATTATACACGATGTTTCGATACAAAAATCAAGGGGGTTAACCGAATTGAGAAAAAGAGGAAAGAGAAAAAAATTATGAATTAAGAAGAAATTTGATGGAACACGGTCAATTGTCAGAGGCGATATCACATCCGCGCTACAAATATACGTACATCTCGCACGTGTACAAGAGTCGAGAGGCAGAGTATATGCTCCGTATGTAATTTGTTCTATATTCAAGGGGGCACTCTAGCGCATATATGTGTTGTCCGTAGCGCATATGTACAGGGAATACATGTCTTCTTGGACGCGAGGGTGTACAAGAATGTAACCACCGTGCGACTGAATGCAACAAGGCACACAATGTCTTCCTCGACCAACGTCCGTTCTCTCCAAGCATGTGCAGAACGCGTTGGCATTCAAATGACTATTTACACGCCTTGTTATTACGATGAACGGAACGAAACGCGCAGCGTTCGCTTTATCGAAATCCGTTTGAAAATCAGTACGAAGTTGCAATTCGTTCTTTTACGTATTCGCGACGGGGACACGTACGCTTATGTACTCTCTATCCACGAGCAAAAAGTATTCAAACGGCACACGGAAACGAGGCGTACCTTTCATTCGACTAGCTAAGTCGAAGCGCGATTCGTACGCAAACAAAAGCGAAATAAATTTCCCTTTTCCTCACCGACGATGAATTTATATACGCGATTTAAAGGGTGTTTTGTTCTACGATGCTCGATTAAATGTTGGATTAAAAGCGTGTATTAATGATCGTCGATACGATACGAAATCGTTCAAATGCAGTTGTCATTACAATTTCTCGCAAATTGCCGTAATTAACCTTAGAAGATAGGCGTGATAGATCGATTCGAAATGACAATTCTCGTTATCTCTAACACATTATTCACGTGTAAATATTTTTTTTTTCGTATATAATAAAAAATAACGTTTTCTGTTCCTTTTTCTTTTTTTTTTTTTATTACGTGTAACGCTTACAATCACGATTCCCGTCGATTTCCTCGGAACGAGAGCAAAAAGGGAAACGCGGAATCGAGCGTGTATGTAGGGCTAAGGGTAAAGTGAGTAGTGGGACTCCGAGTTTGGTCAGACAGGCAGCGTTAATCCACGTTCACCGTGTTAGGTTCTCTCGATGGTTGCCACGGATGGCGGAGCCGATTCCCGAGACTTTCTAACGAAAGTGCAAGTCTTTTCTTCTAGCCGACATACCGCGCAACCGTCCTCGACGCGACTTTCGCGCGTTTTCCGCGGTTTCCCGCCGAGGACGAAGACTTCTTCAAAACTCTTCCGGGCTGAGTCACTCGATATTCTCAGCGATCTCTCTTATTGAAAAATAGATAAAGCAATATAAGAATAGTGGCAATGGTACATTTCTACCTGTTGCGAAAATAAATTAATCGAATTATTATCAAAAGATTATTATTAAAAGAAAAAGGAGGATACGAGGTATCGGTCACGTATATCCGAAAAATATGCAAAAGAGGAGCAGAATCCGAATTAGGAAGTGGCTATATCGACCTTCGCTGCTTTCGATTCACGAATTCGAAAAGCAAAAATTTCTAACATTTGAACGTGGCCGCCTGCGGCACACAGTCAAGGTCTCGGCTCTCTTCCACTCTTTGCCGTGACATAAATATTCGGGGGCCTTTTGGGCCCACGTTGATTTCTCGTGCTGCCTGAGTTGGCTGAACTTGCCAGCCAAGGAGCGAAGCGAAGAGAAAGAGAGAGAAAAGAGAGAGAGAGGAGCCTTGCTTGTAATCATCCTCACCGGGAAACGGACGACCCTGAGTAGGAACTGAAAAGATTAAGCCATCATCCTCATCAGGACCTTCTCTCCTCTCGACTATTTTTAAAAGTGCAAACAATTCTATTCAACGTGACGAATCTCTATCACGCGAACATCATCATCATCATCATCATCATCATCATCATCATTGCACAGCGACAATAATAATACAAATGGAGAATATAATTAAAAGTATCCTTCACGCTTCTTTTTTATCCCGACGCGCGGATAGATTAAAAAGCCTACAATACGTAGAAACATTCTTCAAGAGTAAAAGTTTTTCGAGGCGCGACCGATGATCGATAATAAATTTCCGTCTGATTGCACGCGTGTATTATAAAGAAGGACAGGAGAAGGAAGAAGAAGATGGGAAAAAAATAATAAACGGTTCGTTCTGGCTGTTCCTCAACTCAATGACATTCAAAAGCTGACGCATAAAGAATCGAGCGTAGTCCGATAGCGATGCAGTTTGCACACGCATTAAAGCATCGCACGACTTGAGACACGCATACGTTTCCATACTGAAAACTGTGCTCGGCAAAGCGTGTTGTTTCGTATTACTAGGACTTAATAAACTTTCACTGGCCTCTCACGCGCTTCTCTTTCTTCTTCTCCCCCTCCTTACATCTTCCAACCAGCCATAAATTCGGTAACCTCCTCCGCGAGGCACCGCCCCCTCCACCTCCTCGCTGCCCCCGTCCTTGTCCGCTCCATCGGGATCCTCGAAATAAAGAAACCGAAGCGATGAATTCTACTTCTAATATATAAATAAATGCACCTCCCCCCACTTCTCTCTCTCTCGCCTCTTCTCTTCACCCGCGCAACTCGCGTGGGACGTTGCCCCATTAGCGAAGCAGATATAAGTGCTTGCGAGAACGTAGTCAATTTAACGAGGTTAAAAAAAGGAGAGAGAGAGAGAGAGAGAGAGAGAAGAAAGATCCTCTCCCTCTGATGCCTGATGGCAGAGGTTCGCGTACGGCTTCCCAGAAGACAGCCAGACCGCACGCGTTTGCGTAAAACTACTGGCGTACTGCCGTCCCTCCAATCACTCTCGCTTTTCACCTGGCCGGTTGACAAAGATTCTCGAGAACCGTGAGGTTAAACTCGTGTATGTATACATATATATATATATATTCGATATATCGATGCGATATATTCGATTGGAGGGAACGTTAAATCACTCGGTTTTCTGCTCAGGAGAAAGTTGAAACGGTCGAAGAGCTATGACGTTCTCTCCTCCGCAATGTTTCCGTATCTGTGCAGGGAATCGCTCTTCTTCTCGGAGAGGAATATTATCAGACTCGGGCAATCACAGAGAGAGAGGGAGGGAGATAAGAATAGAGGCTGTAAGTAAACTGTTACTTTTTGGGGAAAAAGGAAGAAGAAGGTGATCTCTCTCTCTGGTTCGCATCCACGGGGATCCAAGATCGGTGTTAACGCACGATTAGTGGGTCAGTGTCAGTCAATGACATCGGTACGGCCAGATTCAAAGTCAGGAAAGGAGGCTAACTATCGTGAGCCGAATGTCGCGCGCGGCGGGGCCACTGGCCAATATTTGGGCCAATGTTAACGTTGGCCTGTATATAACGATTGCCTAATACACCGAGAGCCTGATGATCAGCGGGAAGAAATTACTTTCGTACACGCGAAACCATTCCAACGATAATGGATCTCGCGTTTCGTGAACGCGACCTTTCAAGGATCGATTCGTCGATCGGCCGATGTTTAAGCAAGAAGAGAGAAGGAGAAAGGTGATTTTTCTCTTTGGAAAAAAAGTGGCGAGAGCGGAGAACAGCTTGAGAGCAGCTTTCGAGAGTAATTTTTCACGCACAGCGAGACAACGTATTCACTATGGGGCTATCCACCGGTGTCTGCTACTTTCACTTTCAACATAGTACGCCTCCTAGCGTCAAAAAAATTATTTAATAACCAAGGGTGTAAGT